CGGGCCGCGCCGCGGATTGGCTGTCCCGCGCGCCAGGTGACCCGGAGGTGGTGGGGGTCCCTCGCACGGTCGCGCACCGCTCTTCCCAGTCTCTTCCCAGATCTCTTCCCCGACTCGCCTCCTTCGCTCCAACCCGTCTCCCAGGCTGGGCGCGAAAACCAAAGCGGTCTCCTTTGCCGCTGGACACTCGCAGGCGTCTTCCCGGGATAACGATGCCCCAGGGTCACTCCGTTTAGCTCTTACAGACCGCCGCCTTTGCTCACAGGGGTAAGGCGGTCAGTCGCGACGACTCTGCGTTACCAATGAGAATCCTGGGTACCCCGTGACGGGGACGGGTGGGGCGGGGGGATTGGTGGTAAAGCCAGGTCCGCTGAATCTCAGGTTCTCCAAGTGGTGTTGTGTGACCACTGTGCCGTGCCTGACCTCGGGCTGGATTCCGTACCAGACGTTATTTCACAAACAGGAAAGTTGAAAGTACTATCAGCATTAAATTTACTGAAGTTGAGCGCTGTGCTCTAATTGTATAAGAGAGTATTCTTAAGAAATAAAGCCTGAAGTTGTAGGAACAGAGGCACTCAGTGGAACTTATGCTGGAGTGGTTCAGAAACAATGATGTAGATTGATCAATAAATCCAACGTCAGAAAACAAATGGCTTAGAATATCCACAATTGATGAATCTGGATATCTGCATGCTGGTATTCTTTTTAACCATTTTTATGTGGTTAAACACACTCTTTTTGTGTGTGTGTGTGTTTGTCTTGGTTTAAGTCGTCCTCCATTCAACTGGAATCTTTTCAAAAGGGTACCTTGTGTGTCTGGGGAGAAGGGAAGGGGAATAGGTTATTGAGGATCCAACATCTGCCAAACAGAACTATCCTGGGAAACGGGAAGGCCTTAGAAAAACTGAATTTCTTCTTTCATATGTTTTAGGCCTCCTGTCCTTTAAATTTTTGAAAATGTTTCCTTTTGAAATAGTTATAGATTCACAGGAAATTGCAAAGTAATACCTGTAGTGTTGGCCATAATGGCATCTTAAAAGAACAGAAAGTGGACTTTAGTACTTGCTGTTGACGGGATTACAGATTTCATTTTATTTTTGCCATTTAAAAATCTGCATTAATTTGAGTGTGTGTGTGTGTGTGTGTGTGTATTTTTGTACAATTGTGTCACAGTTTAGGTTCATGTAATCATCAATCACAATTAAGATAGAAAATCCTTTGCTCACTGCAAAAGAACTCTGCAGAACTGCCTGTTTGTGTCCCTGGCCCCTTATCTCCTGCCCAACCCCTGACAACCACTACCCTGTGCTGCATATCAACAATTTTACCATTCAGAGAATGATGTATAAACCCTACTCTGTAGGGTTATAGCCTTTAGAGATTGGCTTTTTTCACATGACTATAGTACTCCTGAAGTCCACTTTGATTATTGCATGTATTAATAGCTCATTCTTTTTCATTGATGAGTGATACTGTGTTGTATGGATCTATTTAACTGTTCTTATCAAAGGACACTAGAGTTGTTTACAGCTTTTTGCTATGATGAACAAAAGTGCTGTGAGCACTCATGCAAAGCATTTTTTGTGGTTTGGGTGGATGTTCCCCCAAAGGCCCACAGAATGGCACTTCTGGGAGATGCATGGATCTTTAAGAGGTGGGACCTAATTGGGAGGTCCTTATGCCATGTACACTATTTTTATTTTACTGTTAATAGGTATAGACTGCTATCTTGAAAGGGATTGTGACCTGGTTCTCCCTGTCTTTTTTGCTCCCCCCTCCCCTGCCGACCCCCAGCTTCCTGGCTAAGGATGTGATCATTTTCTTCCACACACACTCTTATCAAGATGTACTGCCCTGGCCTGAGGGCCAAACCAATGTAACCACCGACCTTGGACTTAAACTCTAGAACCATAAGCCTTCTTTACTTCATAAGGAGTCTATATCAGGTATTTGGTTATAGTAACAGAAAGCTGACTAATGCAATAAGTTTCATTTCTTTGGGTTAAATGTCTAAAAGTACAATTATCGAGTCTGATCTAAGTATCTGTTTAGTGTTGTAAGGAGTTGCCACATGATTTTCTAGAGTGTTTGCGCCATTTTACATTTCCACAACCTATGTATGGGAGTGTCAGTTTCTCCACATCGTCAGCACTTGGTTAATCACTATTTTTATTTTAGCCATTAATAGGTATAGACTGCTATCTTGTTTATTCTAGCTTTAGTTTTGATTTGCACTTGACAAATGGCTAATGATGTTGAACATGTTTTCATATGGTGGCCTATTTGCCAACCCTCTCTGTTCTATGGCAAAATATCTGTTCAAGTCTTGCCCATGTTATCATTGTATTTTCTGAATTTTAAAAATTTACTATTGAGTTTTTTAAGATTCTTTTTTATACCTTTATTTTTATTTATTTAATTTTATGTGGTGCTGAGGATCTACCACTGAACTACAACTCCAGCCCCTACTATTGAGTTTTGATAGTTTTCTATACATTATATAAACAAGCCATTGTTGGATGTGTGGGTTTGACAATATTTGCTCAAATTTGTAGCTGTGTTTTCATCCCCTTAATAGAATTGTTTACAGAGTGTTTGGTGAGGTCCAGTTGATTAATTTTTTTATCTTACAGATTGTGATTTTTGTATCATGCTCAAGAACTCTTTGCCTAGCCCTAGTATTAAAGAAAGCCTCCTATAATGTCCTCTCAGTTTCATACTTTACTCTTAAATCTATGCTCCATTCTGAATTAATTTCGTATATGGCATGAGGTTTAGATTGAAGTGGCCTCTTTTCATTTTTAAAATTTAGAATGGGTGGTATTTCAAGTCAGTGGGGAAATGTGAATAATTTAATAAGCCAATGCCATTCTATGGAACTTATAACACTATTTGTTATAAGTTCTATTCTTATAACAAAATGAATCCCAGATGACTTAAAGGTGTAAAACAAAATGGCACATTGGGGAAACACCACACTCATCATTTGAGAAACGCAAATCAAAACCACATTGACACACCCCTTTCCATCTCTCAAAATGACAAAGGTTTTATAAAAAATGAATACTGTCTGGCAGTGGTGGGCCTATGGAAGAATAGCTGCTCATAGCAAGTTTGGTGGAGAGTAAACCAGTTTTGCATCTTGGATGCCAACTTGACAATGTCTATCAGCATTAAAACTGGGCATATCCTTTGACCAGCTATTCCATGCTTAGAGATTTGCCCCTGAAACTCATGAATGTACCTACTTGGGGAGTATCTTCAGCTTGGCCTGAGACTGGTTCAAGTTGCAAAATGTATAGAGAATGAAATTATTGTATTAAAAGGTGGTGAGAAGTTATCTATATACTATTCTGCATATTTGGAAGAATATGTAAATATACATTTCTTTTTTCTATAGAGACATTATCTCAGTTCAGTAAGATGAAAATAGGTTGGGAGAAGGAAGGAGAGTGGAGCAGGATGTTTATCCTGTACTCATTTCTAATTGCTATAAATTACAAATCCAGAGCTAGGATTGAGCTGGGCCACCTCCTTCCCCATGACCTCCTCAGGTCTCAGATCTCCCTTTGGAATGGGGACACTGTTCATGACACTTGACCTCACTTGCTTTACGTCTCCTCCCCTTCGTGCTTTGCACTTGGTTTACATGACCAGGTCATTTCCTTTATCAGACTACAAGCTTCATGGAAGGGACTCGGTACACAGCAGACACTTAAGAAATGTTTGCTAGCTGAATGTCTTAACTAAGAGGCATCTCACTGACTAGCAGAATTATCCATATGTTACCACAGGGTC